ACATATTTTGCTAGTGCCACGCTGTGCTAAGCAATAACAAAATCCTGCATCAGGCCTTGCTATAAAGCACCTACAAAGATTACACCCAAAAAAATTCCCAAATGTATGCATGATTTTTACAAACATTTTTCACATACAGTAAGTGTACACATATGGGCATCTCAATATGACTCAGCACTCTTATGGCATGCTAGGAGAGGAGCTTACAGGCAAGGCACATACAGGCATTGCTTGCTACTGACAATTCACACATACGTACATACATATATACACCTAAATATATACACATACACGCATCCTTATATAGGTTCATCAGCCCATCAGCCTGTCCTGATCAACAGCTGATAGGTCAAAATTTTCAAAAGTGGCCTCTGGTTTTCAGACGCTGAACATTTGACACATCTGAAAACAAGGAGTAAGATGGAACTCCAGCAATATTACATCTCCTTGCTAATTTTTAAATATTCATGCTGTTTGGTCAGTTGGACTACCAAGGCCAAGTCCAAGGTTAAGTATCTTTAACTACCAGTGAGAAAAGTAGCTTAAGTGTACAACAGGGGACTTATTATTTATGTAATTGTGTTGATACAATGCTCAAGTTTGTTTATCAGCACACTAGTGGACATAACATTAAATTAAACCAGCCTGAAGGAACGATACCCTTTAGGTTTCACAAATATTGCTGGTAGGTATAACGTTGTTTTGTTTGCCTGTATTTCCCTGTATGTTTTGTCAAACAGAAATATGTTAGCAAGGCATTTGCTTAAGCAAGACTGCTGACCCAGGTAGGGATTTTCAGATGTGTGCACAGATCTAAACGACTTTGTATACAAATCGCCATTCGGATGGTTAATTCTTCACACGTTTATCGTGGTGCAGTCACCGAAACAGTCCAAAAGGGAGATAACTAGGCTTGAGAATAAGCCCAGTAGCTAGTTTAGACCATGATTTCATACAAGAAAATGCAGCAAAAGGGAAGTCGGGTTATGTGAGGATCCTGTGCTGTTCATTCTCCTCTGTTCTTTGGAATTGTTTGGAAAAGGGATACAGCATTTTGCAATTAGACCCCCTGATCTGTGCATGCACTTGAGCAACTGTATAACTGTAAGCATATGGCTCGTGACTTTAATGAAATTACTACTTAAATACATGAATTATCCTCTTGTTTTAAGTGATTTGCTGGACCAAAGCCTTTATTTTTAATTAGAGCAATAGAACTAAACTAACACAATGACCCTAATTGGAGAAAAAGAGAGAGTAAAGGTGGCAGCATCACCACCAATACCCAAACCCAGAGGCAGAGAGCAACCACATCTGGAGAAAGTGCCCACAAAATGACAACACAAGTACTGTAGCATATCAACAATTTTTGGCCAATGGACTACAATGTGGAAGAGCTGAAAATATTAAAATCCCACCGATTTAGACACAAAAACATGATTTAAAATGCTATTTTTTGTCTGCAGCCAACATAGCACTGCATAAATCTCGCGTGCAGCCTATTTGGGTGTCAGACTGGCTTGCCGAGTTCTGCACTGCCTTCTGCGAGATTTCAGCACCCTCGTTGCCTCGGATGCACCTGAGAAACACTAGCTTCCTGGGCACTTTAAGAACCAAGTCCTTTAATACAAACCTCACTTTTCTCACAGGCATTTGAAAACATTTAGCTTTTTTTTTTTTTTTTTTTTTTTTTCTGCTGAATGCAGCTCTGATAACAGAAGAGCTCCCCAGGCTGCCTGACACCCCAGACAAAACTGTGAGCAGCCACGGCCGAGGCCAGATCTCCAATTCCTCTGACACCAACTCTATGGCCAATAGAGTTGAACACCAACTCTATGACCAATTCCACGACATCTTTGCTTCTCTAACACCAGTCTGGGTGGCTGATTTAAATTTTGGGGTGCTGGGATACAGTATTTGCTCCATCCCTGGACCAAATCCCTGCCGCTACAGAGCAGATTCCTCCACAAGTCCTGAAGAGCAACCACACTGCTCTTCACCAGGGAAGCTGCTACAGGCTTTTAGAAAAGGATTCACTTTAATCTCCCCTCCCAAAACTGCATGAAGGACCAACCGACCCAACCAGGCCCGCACCTTAGCCCTGTCATGGTACAACACTCCGAGGCCCCAGCGCTCGTGTGCAGCCATCTCAGATGGGCTCGGAGGAGATGGAGGCCTCAGTGCCTGCCTCACGGGAGGCCCGCGCGGCTGCGGCTCGCGCGCGGGCGCCGAGCAGGGCAGGTGGTGCAGAGACACCATTCAGGCCGGCCTATTCACTCCCTGCTCCTCTAACTCTCCATTCATGCATAGCAAAACACCATCTGGTCCTATTTTGCCTCCAGCAATCACAGCTGACCAAAAACGATAATAACAGCTGTTGCGAAACAAAAGCCAAACAAAGGGGGGAGGGAAAGGTTAGAGCTGGGGCCGGTGCCCAAAAATACCCCGTGAAGGCAGGGGTGGAGAAGGAGCCCCTCAAAGAGGCGCTCCCCATGGAGCAGGGCGAGCTCCGGACTCCTGGTTAAACTCGAGATATTTAATCCATCTGTCCGGCTCCCCACAATGGTCAGGTGATAACAAAATTGAGATTATGTTGCATAGAGGTATTTAGGGCCTTTGTTCTCCGAGTGAGGAACTAATGACCCTGTGTCAGCTAAAAATTAAACCTCCTTATGTTCTTTCATCGCGTGTCAGCCTGGGTTAATGCGAAGGGAGAACGTGGTTAACTGGGGTGATAAAGCAGCCGAAACCTTGGGAAATGCAGGCAGCAGTTAAGCACTTGTAAATGATAGGAAGCAAAACATTATTTAAAAGGTAGATGACACTGAAATCATAGAGATGCTCTGTTTTTTTCCCCCCACATAAATGGCATATTAAGTGATTTAAATTAACAGTTTTAAGTATGACTTATGGTAGCAGAATTATTTACTCAGACTCAGAGAAGACGAACGCCAACTTGTGCAGCTTGAAACACAACATGCTCTGCAATATGCTACGGTGGGTAACATAAAACATGGTTTTGTAACAACGAGAAGAACGCTCTGGCTTTGCCATGACTCAACTCATGATATTTAAAATGTACAGTCCCGCCTGACACTTTTTAAAATTCTTTTTTTCTTAACTACAGTAATTAAAAGTATTTTCCTGGAACTGACCAACAGTAATTCAGCAGCTCTTAATCAATCGTGATGAAACCCAGGATTTATGAAATCATTTAATGAGTGTAATAACACCTGCTTCTCGATGCAAATAGTTGAAAACAGACTTCAGTTGTAATTAACTCTTATCACTAGTGACATTTTTCCAGCGATACTTCATAGGTCTTCAAAATGACAATTACCGAACTAATACACAATTACTGTCACATGCAGTTTAGCAATTATTTCTGAAGACATTTGTCTCACGGTTTCAAGAAGGCTAGAAAATGGTTCCCTTTGTTATGTAACATTGCTTAAAACTGACACATACACAGACACAAAATCGTTGCTGACCAGCCGCTGCTGTGACATTTCCAAGGCACACAGGCTCCCCTCCTCTGCAGTAAACACTTGCTGTCCCAGGCACTATTTGATACTCTACGACGGCTATTACAAACATGGGGAGCTGTCAGCTAGCACTGGTTATAAAAAAACCTTCAATTTATACATTTTCTTTTTTCCTGCTCCAAGAAATCTATAAATTTATAATTAGCATCTCTTGCTGCTCAATATTTGTACATAATAACGTACTGGAGGATTATGAAATATTGAAAGGCAGATTCATTATTAATAACTTACACTGTACAGTGCCTCTTCCTCGGCTCGGCCACAACTTTAGGGGACTGGAAAGACCCCTGGTTTTTGCAGGAGACCCGAGCATGGTAACCATTGACACCACCTGGAACAGGATTAGGATTCTGCTCAGGCTTGACACTTGCTGTTTTTAATTTTCATTTTATCATAAGCAGTTCAAGATTGTTGCCAGTGGTAATTTGCAATTTTTATCAAGACCTCTTCATTATAGCTTCTGACAGGACAGATGCTGTAATTAATCATGCAAGACAACTGGGGATAGTGGTCAGACGGCACTCACAGCACAGCTACTGCCTGCAAAGGAGGAAATAAAGGATTTCTCCTCCCTGTCAAGAGCAAAAACGTACAAACAGCCCTAATATCCCAATAACGAGGCTGTTTCTAAACCTGCAGTGCAGGATCCTCGCCCACTCATCCCTATCTCCCACACGCTGCCCTGCTAAGCTCGGGCTGCATTTGGAAGGGAAACCTCGAGACACACGAAGGCAGCCGCATTTCACACTTAGTGCCCTCTCTGAACGCACCTGCTCGCTGTCCTGCTCGTCCTGATTCCTGTAACGTCACAGAGGTGAATGTTTGAGAGCTCTCCCACCTGCCTTCGCTCCCTGCAGCCTTCCAGGAAAACCTTGGAGAAGCCGCGTGCAGCTCCATGGCCGCGAGCACCCATGGACATGGAGCCGAGCGCACCTCGGGACCCACCTACTCGTCACGTTCAACAAAACAAATCCAAAAAAAATAAATATATTTCCCAAGATGGCATTCTGAGGAACAAGCACTTCTATTTTTTTCTTTTCTTTTTCTCTTTCTCTCCATCAAAGACTTCTGGTCCACAGGTTTTACTGAAATGTGTTTATTCTATAGCAAGATAAAAGCATTTATTTTAGATAGGCAAAATACAAACAACTTAATTGCTGCTATCATAACTCATAAAAAAGTATAAAACAGCATAAAAACACAATAAGCAATGTAGCAATTAATAATTCATGTTACCAGTGTTTACATTAAAGCCTCATTTATGAAAACTTTACAACACATGATATGAAAACTTACAACTTTTAAAGAAAATATTTACATTGATTATTCGGTTGTGGAGTTTCTTTTAAATATTCTACTGGTTTTACAGCGTATTAAAAACTCTTGCATTTTTTTTTATCTTAGCTTTTTTTCTAATAACAGTTTTATTTAAGTGCATTTCCCTTTTAAAAATACAGTGTATTAAATCTGAAACTCATCACTTCGACACAGAATATAATATTCACATTTGTTCCGTAACCGGAATTAACGTAACAGGGTAACCGTCATTTCTATTTTGTCATGGTGGTATTTGGAGAAACGAAGTGAAAGGATGGGTCCAACATTTAAGTTTAGTGACTTGCATTTGTTTTTCCGAAGACATTTAAGGAGGAAAAAATTAAGAGCTTTGGCAAAAATCTGTGACTTACTCCATTTTTTTCATGACAAAAAATGCCATCAACTAACTCATGTCATACAAGTATGACTGTATGAAATCCAATCACCATTTTACAGGTAGTTACAACTGTGCTTTAAGGGTCTCATGAGTTCCTACTGCCTTCAAGTGCATCATTCACTTTTAGAGAAGCAAGGGTTATATTATATAACTCTGAAAGACCATTTTGCAGTCATAAGGTCCAGGTATTTATCAGGCCATTTGATTCACATATTGTAGGTAAAGCTTAAATAAATTAAAAAGGCATCACATGAAAAAAGAGCACAGCTTTTTTTTAAAAAAAAGAAACAAAACAAAAACAAGATGATTTATAGTCAGCTAAAAGATGATACACAGCTACATTGTAGTTCTTTATTGCCTATCTAATAGACACTTTAGAGGATCATTTGATCTGTTATGCATCCCTGCATAACAACCATCAACAATTTACAGTTTCCAGCCAAATATGGTTTACCCCTAGCCCCCCTCGATAAACGCACAGCGACGTCGCAGCATCATTTATCTTCAGAAAATACTGACCTGTGATAATACTTGAGTCTGTGCCTGAGGCTGTATTTGTGCCTGGTGCTGCTGAGGTGCCGGCTGCGGGCTCCCCAGCGCCGGGATGGGAGAGGTGATCTGAGAGGCCACCGGAGAGTGCTGCTGCTGCGGGGAAGGCTGCGACTGGTGCTGCATGTGCTGCAGCTGCTGCTGCATCTGCTGCTGCATCTGCATGTGCTGCAGCTGCATCTGCTGCTGACTCATCTGCTGCTGGAGATGCTGCTGCTGCTGCTGCAAGTGCTGCTGCATGTGGTGCTGGAAATGCTGCTGCTGCATCTGTTGTTGTATTTGCTGATGCATTTGATGCTGGTGGAGCTGCTGCTGTTGCATCTGCTGCATCTGCTGCTGCTGGAGCTGCTGCATCTGGTGCTGCTGGCTTTGCATGGAGGGACTTACTTGAGAGGATGATGGCGTTGGCACCATGTTTGAACCCATAGAGCTCATCAACGGAGCTGCAATGTTTGTGGGCATGTTTGGTGCAACGGTAACAGAAGCTACAATCTGATTCATGGGCAGTCTCATGGTTAAAGGCTTGGGAGCAATTGCCCTGGGAAGGGACTGCTGAAGAGTTTGAGGAGATGCAGATACTCCTGGGTGTTGCGAAAGAGAAGTATTCAGAATGAGGGAGGAAGACAAATTCGTGGATGCCAGCGTTTGCTGGACAGAGCGAATGGTCTGGGCTTCAGCAGACTCTGCAGCCGCCTGTGTTTGAAAAAGAAATTCAAGAGTTGATACTGGAGAAACACAGGTTCTCTCCTATCTATGCCCTGGACATGGAACGGACAGCAAAAATTCTCTAGCAACCTCTACAGTTTGTCTGCTGTAGTTCCTTGTGTCCAAGGCATCAAGCCCTCAGCATCTCCAGCGGACACAAGCCTATGGGGAACGCTTTCAAACGCACGCAGCTGAAGCAGCCTAACCACGCTTGAAGAATTGAGGCACTCTCATGCTTTTAAAGACATAAGGACACCTATATTAGGTGTATTTTAAGATACTGGGTGCATTTAAATTAGATATATTTAAGCACAGAGGTGAGATTCCTCTCACCAAGTTTTACATGTCTGCAATGTACACACTACATCTCTAACAGCTGCCTAGAGTCCCTTTAGAGACAGTGGAGAGGAAAAGTCTCTTCCAGAGCAATTATCTGACATGCTTTAGGCAAGTCCCTTGCAATGTGTCAAATCACGCTTTTAAAGCAGCTTTTCCATCCCTGCTCTCAGCAACAACCTTGGCCGAGAAAGCTACAACAAGGATGTCTCAAGTTAAGGGAAATGAATTCTGGATTTAGAACATATTTCCACTCTCGGTATTCCCAAATACAACCCAGGCACTCAGCAATCCAAGTCCCATGGATTTTAAAAGACAATGTGACTTCTGATGGTTTTGAGAAGGGAATTTAGGATTAAAAAAAAGACCACCTGTCAAAGATATTTAGCATTCCAGCTGCCATTGGACTTAGCATCCTTGTTTTCATCATATGCATTTTAACTAGAATCTGGTAAAACACTCAGTGTGGCTCACTGGCAGTTTGTCCCATTTTTAAGAATATCCCAAACTCAGGGCTAAGGCACAACGCTCTCCCTCACCTAGAGGAAATACTTAAGCTTTCTCATACAGCAACTATTGTCCAACCCCAAGCAACTCAAGCCTCTCTTTTAAAAAAACAGCACTTGGAAGAAAATAAATTGGCAAATAATCTGCAAATGTTAATGATGCAAAAATCAATATATTTTTCATGAATAAATTCTCTTTTACAGTCAACGACATAATTTTGCTTCCAAAGATAATCCCTCAGAGAGTACATTTGCGTAGCTACTGTTTGGTACTCATTATTGTGGCATTAGAGATACTAAATATAGCAAAACTGTATCTTTTTGCAAAGACTAAGTGTAGCTAAAGCACAGTACCACATCTTTTAAAACTATATTTAAAAAAAAATGCTAGAATTTTAATTTTCTTTTGAGAAACAAACCCTTTTCCCATCCCCCTATTTAAAAACCATTGCCAAATATTTAACTTGCATCACACTAAAGTCACTTCTCGGCTTACCTTGGAAACAAGGCTTGCTCTATAGGCAGCAAGTGCCTTCAGGTATTCTTTTTTGGCAGCTTCAGTTTTTCTTTTATACACCTATTGAAAGAGACCACAATTTCACCAACTCTAATTATAAAGACATTATTGCCAAAGTGCTCTCAAAATAAGACCCAAAAAGCAGAAACCAAAAAACACCATATGCTCTACCAGTACACATCTTCATTCCTGAAAGTTCTCAATATCCTTGCAGGTGATTTCAGGCTGCCAGGTCTACTTGCTGGACTCTTATCACACTTCATGTTGATTTATTATGAATAAAGAAAATTGCTAGAGCAACCAACTGTTTTACAAGAAGATGTATGCACAATTCATCTCCCAAGAAGAGATGTCATACTGACTGTGTGCACCAGGGAGAATTTTAGACACCAAAAAGCATCTGAAGTGATCTGAAATAGCAAAAGCACTAAGGCAGTAATTGCTTTCAATAAGTATTAGAACTACTTGTAGAAAATCTTTGCATCTCTGTAAAACGGGGTTTATAGAGCTTGGACGATTCACTTTCCCCAAAGCCAATACTAGAAACTCCCATTGAGTGTAACTAGAACAGTTAGGCAAAAAGCCAATAAATCCTCAATCATTAGCAAATTTAAAGTCTGCCCTTAAATCATGATCACATGTAAGATCAGACTAAAAGCTTCTAGGAGTGTATCACACGCAAGAGTTTTTCACATCGTGCCAGAAAGGTGTTGTTCTCTCGGAGATCTCCTCCTCCATCACAGCTTCCATTAACTATTAATGGGAGCTGCACAAAAGTACTAACAACCCCAAAGGAATATATTATTTTTCCAATTCATGTGTAGGAGTTACATGTGTATAGAAAGAAGAATAACCCTCAAGGAAGAACAGCTGATCTTTAAAAACTCCTCATTCTGCAGCAAGTTTGAGCTGGAGATAGCATTTCACACGCTGTATTGTTGTAATGAGCCATACAGCACTGCCTTCAAAGCTTCAAAATCAACAGGCTTTGTAACAAATTCATAAGGCAGATCAAAGGAAATGGTAAATGGGGTGTACCTTCCCCTCTTCTATTCTAGCTGCTGATTAATAGGAAACAAGGGCTTTGAAATAAGAATCATCAAAAGATGGGTCTTAACAGGCCCCTAGCACGGCATCACCCAAGCTTTCTACAAACTGCCCTTTAAAATTTAAAGACAAACACAGCTATTCAATATTACCTACTGGGTCACATAACAAAACGCGTTTCAGAGGGCAGATCTTCAGCAAGTTCAAAATCAATGCAGCTCTACGGGGTAAGATGTCTACATCAGCCAGCAGCGCAGCCCGCTCGGAGCAGAGGCGGGAGGAGGATTAGTTAGGAGGATTACTAGGTTACTTCTTGCAAGAGCGCCTCGCATCAATTTTTTACCTGTTTTTGTTCTTCTCCTAAACTGTCCCACATGGAGGCCACTATTTTTGAAACCTCTCCAAATGTAGCATTCGGGTTCTGCCCTTTAATTGCAGCCTGGGTATCCCTGAAGAATAGCGCATATGCTGACACCGGCTTTTGTGGCTCATTGGGATCTTTCTTTTTCTTCTTCTTTGGAGTCTTGGGCTTCTTGCCAGAATCTGGGGCAGCTCTTTTTTCTCCAGTGGCCTGGGAAAGAGGAACAAAGGCACAGTCTATATATGCTTGAAGTATATGTCAAAAGAGTTCTGAATGGTTCTGGACAGTTTGGTTTAATAATAAATGGATAAAATTAGCGTGCAGGCAACATTTTGGAGAGTCCTGTTGTGCCAGCCTTACTCCTACCAAATAGGATTTACTCTCAACTTAACCTCATCGGCTCTACTGAGACTAAAAGCATAAATAATTGCTCCTCATTGTGAGTAAGACTCAGAGACTCAACCCTGCGAGTTTCACCTGAAAAAGGTTAAACTACTCCCCCCACTACTCATTTCTACAAAATGTTAAGATCTAATCTACAGTATGTTTTGAACTGACAACCTGTGTATTCCCATAAAGACATAATTTCAGCAATAGAGACTTGGAAGTACAGCAGCTTGGAGTCATTTCCTTATTACTAGGCTTAGACTGTTTACTTCGACACGAGGTAAAGTGAAAAACGCCCTATCCTTCAGGCAAAAAACAGGAACAGTTCCCAGCCTCTCTCTTTAGTGGACATCCACTGTGGCAACCAGGCAGTTCCCCTATTCCTCTTGCAGGGACAGAGGTTGTGCAGGTTGTCCTGCTTTCATTGCTCTATGCAGACATTATGGCAGCAAGGGGATACCATGCCTGAAGAAATACCTTTGTGACAGTCATTATATCTTGATATTTTAGGGACTCATGACGGCATGTAGCATGACTTACCCGATTTGATTCATCTGCATCTTCCTCATTGATAGAGCTGGACGGGGAAGGAGTGGCCGATTTGCTGGCAGGAGGGGAGGGAGAAGTGTGTGGCAAGGTCGTGCCCCCTAAATTGAGTCCCAGCTGGGTGCTTAGCTGAGACTGGTTGATGGTGGTGAGCTGGGCAGGAGGCATCATTCCCGAATGCGCCGCATCCGTCATGTGCACGATAGACCTCATGATCAGCGAGTGGTCTTGGCGATACTGAGAAACCTGCGTGTGACTCTGATCCTGAAAGAGATCCAGGCATTTCATCATCAGGGGTGTGCAGGGAACATGCTCAGGTCAAGTTATTTTATCAAGTGGGGAGACTTGCTGCTACCACCTTGCAGCTTGGGTCACCTCTCGTTCCTGAGCTCAGTGCAGCGAGGTGGCCACACTTGCCCCAAACTCCACTTCTCCTCCATTTGTTTCTGGGTGGAATAAAAATTGCATTTCTCCATTTCTAAACATGCATGTTTTTTCCCTCCTGATGCTGTGTGAAGTAACCACATAAACAACATGGAAACCGTCTGTTTGACTACATCCAAAAACACTGCTACAGTGGAGACACCAATTGCTGTCAAATGCAAAAAGTAAACGAGTAAACAAAAAAAAAACCAAAAAAAAAAAAGAAAAGAAAAACATTTTCCTCTACTGACATTTTCATTATTCAGGGTTGTTACTAAGAACAAGTGAAAGCAATTCTCTTTGAGTGGAATTTTAAGGTCATCTTAACGGAAAGCAGAGGCCCTACCGCACTTCAGCACAGAGCCTGCAGCACGGGACAGAAGCCATTCCTACAGATCCTGCTTTCCTGGGGCCAAATTCGTCTTTAATCCCACAATCAGATATGCCTGAAACGGCCAAGCCATGCATGAATCACCAACTTGAATGTTCTTATGCTTTGTCTCTCTCAGAAGCTCAGCACTTGCAGGCTGGAGTCTCAAGACTCAAAAGCAAAAACTTGTCATGCATCTGTTCGTTATTGCATTTGGGAAAAAAAACGTAAAAAGTGAGGTTCTGAAGGGAAAAGTCAACTGCAACCTGATTATGAGCTACTCGATTTTGTTATTTTTAACTACATACAGAAGATCAATATATAATAAAAGAACATGTAAGGCGAAAAGAAGATTTTCAAAGCAGTTAGTAAACGAAGAGAACAAATAGCTCACAAATTGATTCAGCAACATCACTAATCTATATCCACTTCTCAAACAGAGAAAATGGAGAAAAATTAATTTTTGAAAATTTCCATCATTAATAACCTACACTGCAATTATTAGTAGGTTCAATGAGCTTTAATGAAATAACATAAAATGAAGCAGCAATGCTGCCAAGCACCTGGCTTATGCCCCACCTCACTTCCCCAGAGCATTCCGACTTTTCCAGGGCTATCCTGTTATGTGCTGACACAGCTAGGCCAGTTTCCAAAAGCCTGCACCAGCAGCAAGGTAATTCAGCGCATGCTGCTTGGCTCTTACTTTGTAGGACTTGGTCCCCCAAAAGGACCTCTGCAAATCTTGGGTGCCACAAGTGCTGGCAGGGCCAAGAAGCAGCACACTTGCTAAAGGTGATAAATGCTCAGACCTCCACATGCTTTGCCCATTCAAAGCCAGGCTGATACAGCAAACTGCTCCTTGATAGCAATAAATTACATTAATTCTGAATTTGGGCTTCACATGTCTCTGATAAGGCCTCTAGGTAAGAGAGCAGAGCTACTCATTAGCACAGCAGGACATTTATTAGGCCAGATGTTTCACCTGGATGGGGTACAGATGAAGCACATGCTCATGATCTGGATCCTATACACTACATCTTATTCCTCCTATAGAAGTCCTCACTTTTCCCATACCTAGCTCCTTAGAGAAGGATGGATGTGCCAGAAGTGAAGCACTTGATATAGAAAAGATAAAAACATTAGGTTTATTGGCTGAAATATCCATTTGCTCCAGGGCACCTTTTTGTGAAATCTCCTACTGTTAACGATAGGGTCATTTTGACTTAGAATTACATTGACAGAGGCATCTAGAAGACATTCAAAGTCATTTTCAAAGGATATCACTTTCTGCATATCCTGCACTCTTTGTACTTAGAGGCATTATTGTATTGCATGGAAAGAAAGCTCTGTCTTTAAAACAAAGGTGAAAATAATCAGAATGAGCTTCCCTCTTAGAAATTACCATTCTTTGTTAATCTTGCACTCAGCGTTTTCCTAGAGGTATTCCTCCTCTGAAAGGCTGCCTTCTGCTTTATCTTTACTGTTATGCAAAAGGGCTTTTTTGGCTTTTACATCAAAGGAACAGAATACGATGACATGGGTTACAAGTGACTTACCCTACGTCTTGTCATTTTGGTTGCATCCCTGATTTCATTGAGCCTAAATTCTCTTGACTTGCACTGACCCAGAATCTAATTTTATACACAAGCCTATGAATTCTTAACTGTCCCTTCTTCTGAGACTATTTGATGTTGGTGTGGGTTTTCATCCACTTATTTCTTTCCTTTTTTTTCCCTATACTTTCCCTTTTAAGTCAATAACAATAATGAAAAGAAAAACTATAAGCTTCCAGTAAAAGCTATAAACATCAACAATAATATTTTGTAGTTGGCTGCCTAACATCAAACAGATGAGAAATAACATAGGAAAGACAAAATTCTACAGCACTTCAAGTTTTTTTCATATATTCATCACTTTAAAAAAAAGTTCTTGGGACAGTTACAACGAATATATTTGTCGTGCTTTGTACATAGGTTGCATTGCTAATCGCTGTAAAAAAATGAGGAAAGGAGAGGGAATTTAACTTATATTGCGTGGCACGGTGTTGCAGGCCTCCACAGATCCATGTGCGAAGGGCCCTTCAGAAAAGGGCGCACAGCATTTTTCATTTGTACAACAGTTTGCTGTGCAGAAAAAAGGCAAGGCAGCTGGGCATCAGTAATATCAGATTCACAGTCCTTGTACACACCTCCTGAGCAAACAAATCCAGCTAAATCAAACTTCTATCGGCTATCCTTACTTTTTACTGGATCAAAGAAACTTAGGATTGTCAACATTTCACCCTCTAGGCAATGATGAAAAGCACCATGTACCAGGAACATGCATGGAAATAAAATCAGACTTGCACTAAAACATCTGCATGACATTCTAATTGCATTACTACCCAAATAAAAACTGAAAAGTGAAAGGGTAAAGCTTGTGTATGCAGAATAAATCCCATGAGAATATTGTGAAAATACTACACAGTATCATATGCTCATTTCTTACATAAAGTTAACCAGAAAGGATATTTAAGTATTACAGGCACTCAGGATTTTTCATTACTCAAAAGCCACAGATTAGTTCTGGCAAAAAAATCACGAACTTTCAAGTGGAAAGAATCAAGTTTTGAATGAACTTCATTTGCTTTATGGTTTTGGATTGAAATTTGGTGATTTTAGCACAAAGCCAGGCAAAATGCAACAGCTGGTTTTCTGGGCTTGACAGTGAAACAGGAGCATAATGGAAGAAAAGGAAAATCCAGAGAGAAATAACTGGCGTGACTCCTTTGCAGGTTGAAGGAACTTAGTTTGAGACCTCTCTGTTGCAGCACTGCATGGTGCTATAGAAAATGAGGTACTGACACATCGATGGAGGGGAATGCCAGCCATGCCTCTGGTCTCCTCTTCTATATTGCACAAAAAATGTGACAGAGGGTCCAACCAGCCTTCCCCTCTCCAGATCACTTCACGGTGGCCCTGCTTGGGTACATTGGCTTCCAGCACCACTGCCTCGCACTGCTGTGAGCCTCAAAGGCAGCATCAATGCAGTGAGAAGAAGACAGGATCAAAGGGCCTCATACAAAATCCATCCGTCAAGTCATCCTACTCTCGTCTGCTTAGACAAAAAATCACCTCCGTCTTCTTAGACGGCAGTTATGCTATTTATCCCATCATGAATATAGCTGATTTAACATCGGGATGTTAAATAGCTGATTTATATAGCTGATTTAACATCGGGATGTTAAGAATAACAAGAAAAACTTTTTCAAATATATCAATAACAAAAGGAAGGTCAGGGAGAACGTGGGTCCACTAGTGAATGGGGTGGGTACCCTGGTTACGGAAAACACGGA